TTGTATGGGCCATCTTGGGGAATACCAAGGTAGGAAGCTTGATCATCACTCAGTCTTGTCAACTTGACACCAAGCTGCTCCAAGTGTGCATATGCCACTTCTTCATCCAACTGTAATGACAAATAAATAAATTAGTATTTGATAGACTGGCATGGTGAACAAAATATCAGCCTTTTCCTGATTTACCATCAAGAGTAAAATCCTTGAATCAATTTTTGGATTAATTGAAGTCAATTTAATATAGTTGGCTAGTTAAAAATAGATTCGGGTTTTTAAAATTTACATTACTATAAATTCTCTCCAGAAATCTTAGTGTTAATAATTCTTCCTCTTTTTGAACTTAAGTGATGCAAATATCTTACCTTTTTGGGAAGCATGTAAACATCTATTTTATACTGATCAGGTTTGGTCCAAAGCTCAATCTGTGCCAGTACTTGATTTGTGAAAGAGTTTGACATGACAAAGCTAGGATGCCCCATGGCACATCCAAGATTAACTAAGCGACCTTCGGCAAGAAGAATGATGTGTCGACCATTTTTCAGTGTGTATCGATCCACCTACAAAATAATTTAGTAGCAATGAAATTAGTATTAGCAAGTGAAATTCAAACATGATAAAATTAAATGGCAAGCCGGAACAATATCAAACATTTAAATATGAAGTCATCCTACCTGAGGTTTGATGGTTACTTTCTTTTCACAGTTATCCATCAACCACTTAACATCAATTTCACAATCAAAATGGCCAATGTTACAAACAATACTGTCCTCTTTCATCTGTTCAAAATGTTTTCCCACTAAGATGTCTTTACATCCAGTCGTTGTTACAAAAATATTACCTTCTTTACATGCCTCATCAATGGTAGTCACTTCATAACCTGAAAAATACAGAGTAGCTTTATTAATTCAGCCGACACACGCATGCATGTATGTAAACATTGTTTGATTTCCAGCAAAGTACTACTGTGGTATTAACTGATAGTGTTTTTCATCTGAAAATTTACTAAACTGTCATTGAATAACTCAGCTTCAGGTCACTGATGGCAGTTAGGCTCAATGAATGTTTTGGATTAGTGATATTTAACTTAACTTTCAGTATTGTCAGGGGAAATTGATAAGTGATCTATTGTTGTAATATACTGTGAACCGCCAATACTGTGAACCGCGCAC